TGAATTGATTCAAAAGCACACTCCAAAACTCAATTAACAGTATTATTAATGGCATAAAATTGCAAATAAACCAAAAAAGCAATAAATAGCCATAATAATAGTATTATGTTAATTTGGAGACTAAATATGAAAAAACAATAGTTAAAACTTGTTAACCTTTAAAACATTTTTGGATATCACTTCAAAATTTAATAAAACTTAAGTCCGAAAATAAATGCCACATAAATCAATTTGGAAACAATTCATGACTTAATACCACAAAAAATAATGTTATCATTAATAAAAATATTAATAGTAATAAGGAGCATTATAATCACTATGAACATTTTAATAATGACAAACATGGTAATACATATCTTAATGTTTCCATATTCTTAAGGATAAAATGTGACTAGTTCAAAATGGTTAACAGCTATAACAGTAGTTACCAATAATAATAAACTGTAATTAATGATTTGCGTACCTTAATGATGCAAACTGCATCTATCGATAGCACTAACAGCGATAGCGAAGAAAGCCTCCAAAATCTCCCATCTTCACGGAGAGTTTAGTTGAATCGCCCAATGGTACGTAACAGTTTATTGGTAACACTTAATTACCATTATTAATAATAATGAAAAAATGAAGTGACATGGGTAATCTTACCAATGTACCAAATATAGTAGATTACCATGAATGAATAATTATTATGAAAGATAATAAATGAGATTAGCCCTTAAACTTAATAACATTAATTAATAATGTAAATTAATAATAATTACAATAAATGTAAAAAAGTAATTAAGGGATGCTAAATACTAATCTCAATTTACCACATAATAATTAATCAAGACTATAATGAGTCGAACACTAAAATTAAGGTATAGCCAAATTATCAATAATGTAAAGGCAACATAACTATGTACATTGCTTACCATTAAGAAAACGGAATATTATTGTTAAGGCCCTGAAAACTATTAATAGATTAAAAACATAATTTGAAAACTATTAATAGATTAAAAACATAATTAACTTAAATAATAATTATAATTCTTAATGGCCAAAACAATAATTATAATTCTTAATGACTTCAAATGGTAATTGTAGTCCTTAAACCCTTAATGACTCAAAATCACGCAATGGTAATAATTATAGCACAAATTGCTTAAGTCAGGCCCATAAACCTTAATGTCCCAAGCTTGAACACGTTATAATTAAATAAAAGTGCCACAATTATTATTAAAAATGTCAATCAAATAATAGCACGATGCCAAGGTCCATACTGACCAAGATAGGTCCTAAATAGCTTGTTCAAAATAGGTTTTAAAGTCCCATGTGAAAAATAGGACTAAAGTATGCTTAAAATTAATTGAGAAACCAACAAGCTGTCTTAATAGACTATAATGTTCAAAATTAGCCTAAGGATCCAAAAATGAATGATATTTAATATTAAATCTATGAGTTAATAATATGTTATATCCAACCTTAATATAGGCTTTTCTAAATGTACAATTATAATAAAATAAATTTAAAAAAATATACAAAGCAAGATTGGATTTTTGCAAATTAATATATTATTAACTCATAAATACTAATTAAATTGCAATAATTCAAGCAATTTTAATATGCACATCAATATTAAATTAAAATTCAAGTAGCAAATTTAATACTTAATATTTGCTCAAAATTGAATAATAATTTAATTGAGAATATAATGCCAAAATTGAGAGAAACCTAAATGGCATTAATATAACTCTCAATATTAAATTAAAATTCAAATAGCAAATCAAAACTTCATATTTGCTCAAAAATGAATAATAATTTAATTGTGACATGAATTACTGTAATTGAACTAATAACGGCAACAATTCAATCACAAATAATGTCACAATTAATCTGAACTCAAATTTGAAAATTTTAATGTCAAAGTTAAAAAAAAAAAAAGACTAAAGGGCATTATTCTTTCAAAAAACAAGCAATTACTAAATATTTACCATTTGCCAAAATATACAATATTAATTAAGGGCAAATTAATATGATAATATTAATCCTAATATATTACCATGCCAAAATTAATAGGGAAAATGACACTTTTTCCCCCTGAGTTATATACCTATAGCATTTTTTCCTCTAAATTATTGAAGTGGCTGTTTTTCCCCCTGAAATGTTAAATGGACATATTTACCCTTAAACTAAATATTTAATTTTTTTCCAACAAATTATGACCATAATTTGGTTCAAACTAAACAAACACTATAGCAACCAAACCGAAATATTCCAATTACAATTTAGAATCGAAATTCGATATTTAGAGTTTATTAAAATCGTGAACCGGAACGGACGGTTCATGTTCCGAACTGAAAAAATAAAATACATTTATTGTTGAATTTAGACTATTTTAAAATAAAAAATAAAATTTTAAAATAGAGACGGTTCAAAATCGCGAATCAGATCCGGAACCACCGGTTCACGGTTCAAGATTCAATTTTTTGATACATAATTTTAATAAATTGACATTTAAATATTGGGTTCTAGATCTGAATTATAACCGTAAACTATTAATTCGATTGCTTTAGTATCCGGTTCAATTCAAACCGAACCGTGGTCATCCCTACGTATACGCAATAATTTGTTGGAGTAATAAAATAAATAAAATGTTTACTTTAAGGGTATAAATGTCAATTTAATATATTAGGGGGAAAAGACACCACTTTTAGAATAATTGAGGGGGCTAATGTGCTTACCTAAATAATTGAGGGAGAAAAAGTGCTATAAGTATATAACTCAGGGGTAAAAAGTGCCATTTTCCCAAATTAATATGTATAAAACTAAATAAGGCAAATAAATATATGGCAAATAAAATAAAATTGCTCCTTAAATAGAGGCGTACCAAAAAGATATCGCAACTCTGATCTCTCCTCCGCGGAAGACGCAGACACGCATCCATCATCTTCAATTTATCGCCGGGATATCAGCGAAGAAGCAGCGACTCTCTCCGCCACGGAAGACGCCGTCTGAAGGAGGAGCACCGATCGGAGCCCACGCCGCTGCAACGCAGAGAAGGGGCAGAGATGTAGCGACGTCGTCGGAGAATCCAGTTCCCCTCCGATAGCTCTCCTCATCGCAAATTCATGTCCGCCAACGCCGCCCACCATGGCAGCCAGTGCCTCCCTTCATTGCCAGCCAGAGCCACGACGCCCCATGGCGCCGTCCATCCAGCGGCGTAGCTGACCTGAAAAACGACAGCCTTACGCCGGAAATCCGTGCCGCCTTTGCCATCGCGCCTCATTACAGCGGTGTCCTCCCAGCGGCAAACCCACAGCGTAGCGGAACCAAAGCCGCAGCCCCACGTCGGAGGCGTCACCCATGAACCAGTCGCCACCGAAAAATTGAGGCTCTCGGTCGCAGATGTTGTTCTGTGGAAGTGTGCGGACTGTTCTTCTCATCACCCATGCTCACAAACCAAAAACAACAAAAACTCGCAAAGCTTGTTACTGTAATATGGTTAGGCAAGCATGGAATTTTGAATGGAATTACGCAGCGTTGTTTTTCCAGAAAACAAAAACAGATATATTTTCAAAATATATATATATATATATATATATATATATATATATATATATATATATATATATATATATATATTTGTTACTAATTATTAATCAACCACGCAGAGATTAATTTGGGCCCTGATACCAAATGTTAGATAATAATGAAGCTAACGTAAACTGAAAATAAACGAAAATAAACGGAAGCTTTAGGACCTTTGAACATCCCTAGCCATAGTTGTGGAAATTGCCTCTGGAATGATAAACCTGTAGAAAGTGTTTTGTCTACCACTTCTCTCCCGAATACTTGATGGTGCCTGTAGAAAGTGTTTTGTCTACCACTTCTCTCCCGAATACTTGATGGTGCCTGTATGCAGAACAGGGGAGCTGTGGGAGGACTGATTTGCTTAGAAGCCTACATCGGGCTACATGCATCAACGTAGGCAGATATTCAGTTAAAACTTAACTGAATATCCTGAGTTGCCTAACAAATTAAGCCACTAACTGACTTAATCTTCCACTTGCACCACAACCACCCAATAATACAATATATTATAATATATTATATTAGGGAAAATACTTACAATTATAACATTCCATTCATGAGATGCACTGCATAAAACTTAAATAATTTTATTGTTGATCATATGTTTAAAATAATTAAATCAAGCATTAATTCTTAAAGTTCATTGTGAATTAATCCTCAAAATTATACGTTAATTTTATAATGTAAGAGTTCATTGTGAATTAATCCTCAAAATTATACGTACGTTAAGTTTATAATATTAAAAATTGTAAGTATAGATAATACAGTACATGCTAATACTAATAATAATAAAAAGAAAAAAGCATATAATAATATTATTAATAATGACTATAACTCATCTGGAATTATAATATATATCATGTCATCACTGGAATTCTCTGAGATATAAATTTTCTGGTCAACAATTGCAAACTAATAGGAAAAATAATTGAATATCAAACTAATTAACAATAAAATTTATTTTCACGGGGTTCAAACCAACCGTAACATATAAAATAATTTAAAAATTTTGTTGCATATAAAGATTTAACAACCTTCTGATATAACTACAAAATATATATATAACTAAAATTATTAAATGTTATAAAAAATACACTATTAATATGCGCACATTTTTGTCTTGCATAATGGTAATGTACATTATGTTATGTATAATATAAAATAATGTATGTTTATTAAATTAAAAAATATAGTACACATAATATATCTAATTACACCATTCTACATCCTAAATTTGTAAGTAAAAAAAAAAAAAAAGACTAACAATTTAATAATATACATCAGGCCAATAATAGACTCACTATACATGATATTTAAGCCCAAATGATATGACCTAATACCATAACCCAACCCAATATATTAGACCCGACCCAAATCTATGGGGTATAAAAACACAGTTCAGCCGCATAATTCACCATCCCTACCCGACTCTTCGCCTCCTCCGGCTCTCTCTCTCCGGTCTGTAACCTTCTTCTAGCTTCTCGCAAATTTGTCCCGTCAAAGCTGTAATCCATGGTTTCCAATGGCTATCCTTGTTGTATCTGGATCAAGAGTCGTTTATCGACCGTGGTTAAGCTTTTTATCCACAATATCGCGCTTTGTTTGAAGCTCTCAAATCCAACCCTAGACTATAGTAATTCCATTTATGCTTACAAAATACCCGAATTTCTGACCTAAACTCGCAAATTTCATTATCCAAAACCTAACCCTAACTTTTTCTGCTAGCCGATTCTACTCAACTGCCGCTGATTTTGCGATGTTAGTTCACAAACCTAATTCCAGAATGCCTTAGTAAGATAAGTAAATTCTTTTAATTTTGTGTATTTATTTAGTAGAATACTTATATTTTGTGGGCATTACATTATATATTTTCATTTTATGATGCATGTATGTTTGTAATTAGCTCAGTGTTCGAAAATGAATTATTATCTTGAGTTTGGACAGTTTAACTGCATAGTGTTTAATTTCATCTTTGAATGTGTGTTTTATTATTGCAGGTGGAAGAACATGGAGGTCAACAACGCCATAAGACAAAGTCCAGATTTAGATTTTAAAACATTGTAAGTTTAATTTATACATACTTAAATTATCTTTGTTATATTTTTTTGATAATGCTTTGCCATTAGTACTTAAATTATCTTAGGTTTATCTTTGTGCCTTAGGTTTATCTTCTATGGTAGTAATTCATATAAGAATTACAAATTGCATTCTGTGACAATCTCTGTACTTTAAGAGAACAATTTTTTTTTTTTTTTAAATGATGTAATACTTTTCTGATACTGTTTTTTAAAGACCAAGTTGGTTAATCACCTTTCTATACTGCCAGATATTGGTAGATTAAAAATAGTGTTTCATAGTTAATAATGTCTAGAAAATTTTGAAAATGCTTGTTTTTAAAAAAAAAAAAAAAATTCTCCTTTTCATTTATAAAGAAATTCACCTTGGTTCAAGTTTTTTTTTTTTCAAAATGAATTTAGAGTTAGTTTACGTTTGTTTTTTTAGTCGAAATTTCAACTCTCCAGATTTGGTTCATTTTTATTTTCTTCAAAATGAAAGCAATTTTTAGTTTTTTTTTTTGTTCAAAATTTCAACTCTTAAGATTTTGTTTCTTTCAACATGGAACAATAGGTATACTCTGGTTCCAGTATGTTTTTTTCAAGCTGGAATAATAGGTTTCAAAAAAAAAAGTTCACCTTCATACAAAATGCAAAAATACAGACAGAAGCTGTGTTAGAACTATTTTCCAACTTAATGAACTACTTTGGTTTCTTATTTAATTCATTGTGATTTTCCTTTATTTTTATATTTACGTATTTTCTGAGTGTTCTTTACTTTGGTGTCTTATTTGCTTCATTTTGAATTCTTTTTCTTTTTATGATTTCGTAGCTACAAATAATGTTTGTATTTATACTTATACTTGAAATTCCATATTTCCTTAATGGTATCCTAAGTCTGTAGATTTAGCAATCTGGAGAATACATATTCTGCAGAGTTTTTGAATCATGCACATGTCTTACATGGCAAAGATCTTCCATTGATAGCTTGACTGCTAGTTTGATTCAATCTTCAACCTTCAATATTTATCTTGATTAGGACACCATTTTAGACTTGAATTATGAACTAATTTATTTTTCGGATTACTTCATCTAGGGCTTCATATCTATTTTATTTAGTGTATAAATTTTCTATCAATGGTTCTACTCAAAAACACTACTCATCTAGAATTTCATTTATATGTTAGTTTGCATGCTTAATTCTAGAGTTTCTAATGATCAGTCTAATACTTCAGAGATGATGAATTCTTGGGCCTGCAAGAAATCAGCGAGCTACGACAGTGAGATGGAATTGTTGGTGGCGGTGAGCGAAGCTGCCATGATCCGCAAGTCTTGACGTAACCCCCTTAGAACGTACAGGTTTGACTATCTCACGTGTCGGTCATGCATCAATCCCGTCCGTGTCAAAATCGTTAAATCTGTCCAATGTGTTACATGTTCCGCGTCTGTCGGTCCCTTTACTTTCCGTTCAAAAATTTATTAAAGAAAATAGTGTTTATTTCGAATTTCATAACGACTGTTTTCTTGTGAAGGATTCCAAAACCAGGGTCATTCTGCTTAAGGGGCCAACATCAGGGGGACTATACAAGCTTCCGTTGTCAAACACACAGTTTGCGTTCGTCAGTTCCCGTGCCACACAAGACGTTTGGCATCGAAGGTTGGGTCACCTGCACAGTGTTGTCCAGAACCGCATCCTAAAAGACTGTCCAGTTTCACCAAATAAATCAAAGTCCTCGGAGTCGTGCCCGGCTTGTCACCGCGGCAAGTCGTCCCGGTTTAAATTAGATAGAATTCATAAATCTAGCATCAATGTTTTAGATTTAATTTTCACCGATGTATGGGGCCCGGCTCCGGTAGTTTCCACTAGTGGTCATCGCTACTTCTTACTTTTTGTAGACGAGTATTCTCGGTTCTTTTGGTTTTATCCGTTACGGGTAAAATCAGATGTTTATAAAAGCTTTGAATTGTTTCGGGTGTTGGTAGAGCGGCAATTTTCCTGCTCTATCAAGTGTATCCAATCGGATTTAGGGGGTGAGTACAGAAAATTACACACTATATTCCAAACACTGGGCATCAATCATCGGCAGTCATGTGCCTACACACATGAACAAAATGGGTGAGTTGAGCGCCGTAATAGGCATATTGTCGAAACGGGCCTTGCTCTACTTGCTGAGGGCTCAGTTCCACTTGAGTATTGGGACTTTGCCTTCGAAACTACCACTACCCTAATAAATTATCTACCAACACCTGTGTTAAACTTTGACAGTCCCTACTCTCGCCTACATAAAGTGTTTCCTCCATACACGTTTCTTCGAATTTTCGGGTGTCAGTGTTATCCCTATCTCAGGCCAAACAATCGACATAAGATAGAATATCGCTCGGCACCTTGTGTCTTCCTTGGTTACCCCCCGTCCTTTAGGGGATATAGATGCATGGATCGGTCAACTGGGAAAGTTTATATCTGTCGTCACGTGCGGTTTGACGAGACGGTGTTTCCTTTTGCAACTCGGACACCCGCTCCGTCTACTCCACCCGCTTCTCTTCCGTGGGCATTCGGGCCCATAGTCCCACGACTTGCCCCGATGGCCCCACCATCTAGCATCATCCCGGTACTCGAGGCTGAACCCGTGCCCTTGGCACGCGAACCCATGCCTCTAGCTGTCACTGCACCACCTCGTGCCAGGACTAAACGGCGTTGTACCGAGCCCCAGGACCGAGGCCATGTAATGCGCCTTCGTCACCAGACTCGGGGTACAGGGGAGCAATTTCATGCTTTACATATAACCACTGATCCTACGTGTTACTCCCAGGCTGTAGGCCATCCACAGTGGCGAGAGGCCATGGATCAGGAGTTTAATGCGCTGCTGCACAACAGCACGTGGCGTTTGGTAGCACCAGAACCACGCATGAACATTATTGGCTGCAAGTGGGTGTTTCGCACCAAACGTACAGCTGATGGTTCAATCGAGCACTATAAGGCCCGTCTGGTAGCCAAAGGGTTCAACCAGGTAGCCGACAAGGACTTCTTCGACACATACAATCCGATGGTAAAACCGACCACTGTACGGATGCTCTTTTCTCTTGCTGTTTCATCCAACTGGACAATACGCCAGTTAGACGTCCATAATGCCTTTCTGAATGGGCATCTAGCCGAGACCGTGTATATGAAGCAGCCGCCTGGTTACGAGGATCCAGTGCACCCGGATCACGTATGCCATCTGCAGCGCTCACTATATGGGTTGAAACAGGCCCCCTGGGCTTGGTTCAAACGGCTCCATGATTTTTTACTGCTTGCAGGGTTTTCCTCGTCGAAAACAGATGTCTCTTTGCTCCACTATACGTCAGGCACATCTCGGGTGTTTTTGCTTGTATACGTTGATGACATCATCATGATGGGAAATGATGCTGTGTTGATCAATATCCTGTTACAGCGGCTCGCATCCACCTTTAAAATCCGTGATCTTGGAAGCCCTGGCTTCTTTTTGGGCATCGAGACTATATCTACGGATAATGGGTTCATTCTTTCTCAACGGCGGTACATGACAGACTTATTAGGCCGTGCGGGGATGCTTGACTGCAAGTCTCTCACCACACCTGCTGCTGTCACAACTTCAGTCGTCCCGACAGCATCCACATATGAGAACCCAACACACTACCGGCGTATTGTAGGGGCACTGCAGTATTTGACGATAAAACGCCCAGATTTGTCCTACTCCGTGAATCGCCTATGTCAGTTCATGCATTCACCTACTGATGAACATTGGGGCATAGCAAAACGGGTGTTACGCTACATTAAAGGCACTATCAGCTATGGCTTACGCATTACTCCGTCAACTTCTACTACTATACAGGCCTTCTCAGACTCAGACTGGGCAGGTTGTCCGATTGACAGAAAAAGCACCAGTGGTTACGCTGTGTTCCTCAATACTAATCTCATATCATGGTTATCCAGGAAGCAACGAACAGTAGCACGATCATCCACAGAAGCTGAGTACAAAGCTCTCGCTGACGTCTCCGCCGAGGTCACTTGGGTTGTGTTTCTACTCCGTGAACTAGGGCTTCATTCTTCCGAGCCGGCCACTCTTTGGTGTGATAACCTTGGAGCAACATATCTGTGTGCGAATCCGGTGTTTCATGCCAGGACGAAGCACGTGGAGATTGATTATCACTTCGTCCGGGATAAGGTTGCCTCAGGAGACTTCGTGGTCAACTTCGTTTCCACTAAAGACCAGCTAGCAGACATCTTCACCAAACCACTTACGGGACCTAGGTTCACGCTTCTTCGCGACAAGCTCAATGTCGTCTCGCACCCACCTTGAGCTTGAGGGGGTGTGTTAATAAGTGTTATATTATATAGTTTTTATATTATGTAATTATGTGGTTTAGAATCAGTTGACTAGAGCTCTTTATTAGTTAGGAGAGTTTCTAGTCAATTACCTTTTATCTACTGTAATTCCTTTCTGTTGTAACTGATCAATCAAATTCAAATTCTCATCTGTGTCGTTTTCATTGGGCGGGAAAAATTATTGCCAAAAACTCCTTGCTTTATTATAGAGTTAGATTGTATTATGAATATGAATTTTTATGTAAAATTGCAGTACGAATAGAAAAGTAAGAAACAATATATTCTATTAAGAATTGTATTACACTATTTTACAATATTAGACAAACTTTAATAGTATATGACTGTTTTAGGTGAAAAGTTAAAATTGATGATTTTGTTTTTATTAATAGTATAGATATAGATTTGTATATATTCAAAACTTGCTTAAAAATGTGTCTAGACCACTTTATAGTAAAACAAAACTATGAAGATTGTAATTTCAACTATAAAATGGTCTAGACAACAACACTAATGTGTCTAGACAACTGTAATTTCAACTATGAAGATTGTAAAACAAAACTATGAAGATTGTAATTTCATCTAAAAAATGTATATGCATGCCACCATATTTGCATAACTAATAATCTAATGGAAGAATAACTAATAATCTAATATCCATGTTACAAATCCAGTTAATCATGATTTCACCCATCAAAGTGAGAGGGGCAGAAAATCAGGGATTCAGAATGCCAAAGCTCATATAGATTTAAAAAATAAGGATAAGAACAGTAAAGTTTGAACCAAATAATGACATACTTCATGAATTTCTTTTCACTAAGACGGCTTATACATTGTTTATCACACTTAAATGAAATTAAATGAAAGCTATGACCCAAATCTAGAGATTCTAATGTGTATCACACTTCAATGCTTGAGTTCATTACCAAAGCATAACTCTGAATCTCCACATACTATACTTTACCTTAATAGAAACCCAAAAAGAAAATCAAATCACAAAACATATACGGAGTAATTTTTATTACGAAGGGTTAACTTGGTTTGGACCCATCATTTTTCATTTTAATAAGATTTAAAAGGCCAGACAATTGATTTCGCAAAAAGGTTATTATACACTCATATGGATAGTAATGCAAATGAGATAGACAAATCATAAAATTTAAGTTCTATCTCACCACTGCAGCAGGTCATAGGAGATAAAACATGTAAATATTCTAACCAATACCAACAGGAACAAACACACACACACACATTTAAATCGGATATATATTCAGTATGTAGACCATGTGGAAAGTTGTATATTCCCTTTAAATAATGCCTTCACATGAGAGCAAAAAAAGAAATAAAGCATGCCCAATGCTCTAAAAAGATTAAAAAAATTAGCAACCTGACAAAATCTCCCTTTAAAGCAGGAGTACCAGAATATTGGATACTTATATCATCATCCCCATGATTAGCCCACACTGCACATAAAATGGAAGGGTAAAAAGAAAACAGAAGAGAGTGTAGGGGAAGGAAGAAAAAGAGATAAAATGCATGCTAAATATCTTATAAGCTAATGAACTTTCTATACCAACAGCAAAAACAGTCTATACACTGAAAAAAAAAAAAGCATAATCATAACAATTGCTTGATATACTCACAGAGTTTCATCAAGGTTGGGGTGCTTGCTATAATTGTTTCTTCAGCATTAAAAACACCAAGCCTTCCCAGTTGGAACTCTAGCATCTTTTGACCAATCATGCTCTGCAAACAAACATAAAGAATGCAGACCTTTTTTCTACCCACTTGGAATTGAGAAGTAACTCAATGCATAAAACAGAAACAAAAGAGACGTCAAACTCACTGTTATACCCAATCAGCTAACAACTATTTACCAAACACGCCAAAATAAAATTGAAAATTAGAGAACAAAAGATTAATTAATAAAATAAAATAAAATCAAAACTATCAACGTTTACTACAAATTATAGAACTATAATTAATAGCATTCACCTAGAAGTCATGGAGTAAGTACTCCAGTCAGGGACGGAGGTAAGTGTATGTTTAGGGGGGCCTTGGCCCCCTCCCCCACCCCAAAATTTTTTAATATTATATATGTATTAAATTTTTTTTAAAAAATATTATATAGAATTTTAAAATTTTGTTGTTTTTTCAAAATATTTGGCCCCCCTCCACTTAATTAATCTTACAGGTAAAGTTATAAATTTTTTCATCTTCTGAACTTTTTCAGTTCTCTCCTATTTCAAATTATGTATTCCATATATTGTTGACTCACATTCAAATTAAATTTCATTTAACCTACTTACTAGTTTCTCTGCGTAGAACCATGCATATATGCGGCATATACGTTATAATAAGATAATTTGTCATTAACAAAATCTATGCATATTTTTCAAGTTAATTTTTATTTTTTATTTTTATTTATAACTACTTGTTTGGTTAATTTTTGTTTCATATTCTATTGTTTATCTTAAATAATTGTTTTGTTTGATTCTAAATCATGGATATCAAGTGCATTTGTTTGATTAATTATGTAAATTTGTGGTTGTGTGATAAATTTTGTATTTAATTTAAAATGCATAATAATGTAACAATTGTGTAGTATATGTATTTGAGAAAACAATTGCTATTATGTTATGTTGTGAAGAGGGTTTTGCAAGAAATAATCAATAGTCTTTTAAAACATGCGTGAATGTTTTCATTCTTTCAACCGTACAATGCAAAGTAATGTGCATTGAAAAGCATATTGCAAAATAATTTAATATAGATTCAATTATAAATAATTTATTCTAAACTTTATTGAATTTGTAATGTAATGATTATTTTGAGATATGTTAACAGGATATCAATGTATTTAATTTAGTACTTCAATCGTAGTTCGGCCCCCCGCATTGTTCCGTCCTGGCTCCGTCCCTGACTCCAGTGTCTATTGGTTGACTGTGAAACGTGGATATTCCCTTGACAAACACATGAGCCGGAGCCTTATAATGTTTAATTTTGTGCGTTCAAAGAGTTACTCATGGAGTATTTGTAGTGTCAGATAGAATATATTTACGCATGGAGTATTTGTAATGCTAGATAGAATATATTGTCTTATTGTATTACGAATAGGAATTTTAATGTAGAATTATAGTACGAATTGGAAAGATGAATTTTAATGTAGAATTATAGTACGAATAGGAAAGTGTGAAACAATATATTCTATTAGGAATTGTATTACACTATTTTATAATATTTGAATAAGAATTTTAGCCCGCATGGGTAGCTCAACTGGTCATAGAGGTGAAACTTTGGAATAATGACCAGGGATCGAGTCTCACTAGCGGCAGTGTGGGAGCAACCTCTCAAAGTGAGGGGGGCTCCTTGTGTGCAATGAGCACCAGTCTAGCCTGTCTGGCCTCTACGGTACATGTTCAGTTGAGTCTGTTGGGCCGGGGTGTGGAATAATGAATAAGAATTTTAAACTAGAATTATAGTACGAATAGGAAAGTAGAAAACAATATATTTTATTAGAAAGCGAGATTTTGTGGGAAGTTAAAGTTTAGGATTTTATTTTTATATATAGTATAAATATGCTTATAAAGGATTTCGGTTCCATTTCACAACCTAAAAAATGTTTTTCATAAAATGCTTTCAAAAAAATAACTCTTTTTTTTTGTTTTTTTTTTTTTTTGTTTTTTTTTTGTTTTTTTGTTTTTTTTAGAAATAGTTTAATTTTATGTTGTTTGAATTGACTGAATGTCATCAAAACTTTTTTTTTTTTATTGGACTGGAAGTTAAGAACTTATATTTTTTCTATTTATTTCATTTTCTTGAAAATGAACATAATATTTGTTATATAATAATAATAATAATAATAATAATAATAATAATAATAATTGTTATATTCTAAAATTGGGCTAATCTCACTCAATTGGGTTATAATAAGATCATTATTCTATGGAATAGTCCACACAACAATGTAGATTACAAATAAAAAATATATTATGTGTACATAAAGTATATATTATTTGAGTACTGAAAGTACATTATTTTATATACTATCAAATAATGCACTTTTACTACATTAAAAAAATATATCTTGTATTAATGAAAAGTACATTATTTGAGTACTGAAAGTACATTATGTTGTATACTATCAAATAATGTACATTCAGTACACAAATAATGTAATTTTAGCATATTAAAAATGCATCTTGTATTCACATGAAAAGTACATTATTTGAGTACTGAAATTACATTATTTTGTATATTATCAAATCATGTATATTCAGTATACAAATAATGTACTTTTGGCATATTAAAAATGTACATTGTATTTATGGTCCACATAAAAAAGTACCGCTATAATGCGCATGGACCAAACCACACTAAAAGATTGAATATAATCTAATAAACTAGCTCCATATGTCTTCTCTTATATTTTTTCATGTGGGACTCTTAATAACAACAACACTAAAGATTGAATATAATCTAGTCAACTAGCTCCATATGTCTTCTCTTATATTTTTCATGTGGGACTCTTAATATATAACAACACTACAAGATTGAATATAATCTAATCAACTAGCTAGCTCTATATGTCTTCTCTTATATTTTCATGTGGGATTCTTAATAACAACAACAACGTAACAA